CACTGGATCAATAAGAGATGATCCTTACTGGACCTCTAGGAAGAACAGTTTAGAACTGATAGAGCTATCCAGTATAAATAAAGTTAGTTTAGTTTATGTGTCCTCCTGTAGTAACACTGGATCAATAAGAGATGATCCTTACTGGACCTCCAGGAAGAACAGTTTAGAACTGATAGAGCTATCCAGTAAAAATAAAGTTAGTTTAGTTTAGGTTTCCTCCTGTAGTAACACTGGATCAATAAGAGATGATCCTTACTGGACCTCTAGGAAGAACAGTTTAGAACTGATAGAGCTATCCAGTATAAATGAAGTTAGTTTAGTTTAGGTTTCCTCCTGTAGTAACACTGGATCAATAAGAGATGATCCTTACCGGACCTCTAGGAAGAACAGTTTAGAACTGATAGAGCTATCCAGTATAAATAAAGTTAGTTTAGTTTAGGTTTCCTCCTGTAGTAACACTGGATCAATAAGAGATGATCCTTACTGGACTTCTAGGAAGAACAGTTTAGAACTGACAGAGCTATCCAGTATAAATAAAGTTAGTTTAGTTTAGGTTTCCTCCTGTAGTAACACTGGATCAATAAGAGATGATCCTTACTGGACCTCTAGGAAGAACAGTTTAGAACTGATGGAGCTATCCAATATAAATAAAGTTTAATTTGACCACAAGTTAACTATTGTCGAATCTACTTTTCTAATAGGTCTATATCAAACGAATTCAGAAATTCGCTCGCAAGTTTTCTTCGAGTGACGGCGCTGTAAGTAACTAATGTTATTAACAGTTTAGTGTAGCACAGTGAAGTAATATAGAATTGAAGGTTATTGATGGGTTTCATCAGAAATGTTGACAGGAAAAAAACATTTCTCATTCAGATAATTTCTGGAGTTGACTACTATCTGTTGTTCGACAGTGCTTTGTGCAACCCACGAATATAAAAGCTACACTCTGTGATTTTTAACAATCTTTCGTCTGAAGCATGAAATATGTTTTATTTTCAGCTCGACGCACCGCCTCTGTCTCCTTTGCCAGTTGCGAGGAATCAACCTCACTCGCCACGTCGGGTAAGTTTGTTTTTTTTAATTTCTGCGTTTTTTATATACACACGTAAAAACGCACAAGTGGTTACAGGTCTGCAAACAAGTCGTTACAAATCTGTTCACAAGCTGTCAACAAGTTGTGTTCGTACTGCTTGTTCCCAGTTATTGTAACAAGTTGGAAACAAGCTGTTAACAACTTGTAACAAGCTTGATGGCATTATCAGACTTGTTACAAGGTTGTTCTGACAAGTCTGATACAGTCATAATATAACAAGAATGTTACAAAGTTGACGACACGAGGTTGTAACAATATTGTTATATCATGACTGTATCGGACTTGTTGGAACAACCTTGGAACAATCTGATAATATTATTTTTTTCTGTGTTGGTGTTGTGTACTCAGGTGAATATGATATTTGTGATGTTACTTTGAGTGTATATCCACACCGGGCGAGCTTGAAAAATGTGCCCGGCAACGGTGGGAATCGAACCTACGACCTTTGGAATACTAGTCCATTGCTCTGCTGTAGTTCAGTTGGCAGAGCATTGGGCTAGTATTCCAAAGGTCGTAGGTTCGATTCCCACCGTGGCCAGGCATATTTTTCAAGCTCGCCCGGTGTGGATATACACTCAGAGTAAAATCACAAATATCAATCTGATAATATCAACAAAGTTGTTCCAAACTTGTTGACAACTTGGGACAAGCACTGCGAACACAACTTGCTGACGGCTTGTTGGCAGATTTGTGACAAGATGTGTAGATCTCACTCGTGAGTTTCCCGGATAGCTGGGTTCCTGGAAACAGTCTCTTGATGTGTAATTGTCATTTCTCTTTAGCGAGTCACTTCAGGGCAATCAGTGTATATATCGCCGCGTAAAAGTGGTAAGAATGCCTTTCCTAGAAGCATTAGTTTTACGATATATACATGTACACCAAGCCTAGCTAGAACGCTAATTTTGGACAATAAATTCATTTTTAGGTATCCCACTGACGTGTGACTCGCCTCGATTGTCGTACAGTTTCAGAGAAAGCTCTTCTGAGGTAAAAACTGTCCTCGATTAAGGAATATTTAGAGCTGATAGAGCTATCCAGTATAAATAAAGTCAGTTTAGTTTAGGTTTCCTCCTGTAGTAACACTGGATCAATAAGAGATGATCCTTACTGGACCTCTAGGAAGAACAGTTTAGAACTGATAGAGCTATCCAGTATAAATAAAGTTAGTTTAGTTTAGGTTCCTCCTGTAGTAACACTGGATCAATAAGAGATGATCCTTACTGGACCTCTAGGAAGAACAGTTTAGAACTGATAGAGCTATCCAGTGTAAATAAAGTTAGTTTAGTGTAGGTTTCCTCCTGTAGTAACACTGGATCAATAAGAGATGATCCTTACTGGACCTTTAGGAAGAACAGTTTAGAACTGATAGAGCTATCCAGTATAAATAAAGTTAGTTTAGTTTAGGTTTCCTCCTGTAGTAACACTGGATCAATAAGAGATGGTCCTTACTGGACCTCTAGGAAGAACAGTTTAGAACTGATAGAGCTATCCAGTATAAATAAAGTTAGTTTAGTTTAGGTTTCCTCCTGTAGTAATACTGGATTCATAAGAGATGTTCCTTACTGGACCTTTTGGGAGAACAGTTTAGAACTGATAGAAAGTGTCAATAGAAAGTTAGTTTAGGTTTAATGTTTTAATAGTTTAACCTTTTTCAACCATCTCTTCCAGAACTTACAAAACATCAATAGTGCTTTATTGAGCAGCTGCAATGGTCTCTCACGGAAACGGTTGCTATGCGACAATGACGATGACGATGAGTATGAAAAACCCCCCAAACAAAGCACTAGTAATGGATTTATGGCGCGAAAATTGCTAGATATTGCGGCCGAACGAGAGACGTCAGCCAAGAGATAAATGGTAACTGAACTAGGAACGTAAAATAATTTTAAGTTAATACTTTTAACTTTTTAATCGTGGGGAAAAATTCGGGGTTCCGGCTTTCGTCTGGGTCAAGAAAAGGGGCTTTATGAGAATTTCTTCAACTCTGTTGGCGTGGGCAAATGAGAACAAATGACACGAGAGCTTGCGTGAGTGTTTTCTCGACTTTCAATCTTCATACGATAGCTAACATATCTTTCTCAACTTTCGTTGCTTTATTAAACGAAAACAAGAGTTGCATGAGAGTTGACAAGCGAGAGTTTACATGAGAGTTTTCTCAACTTTCATCTTTTGATCAAACGAGAACAAGAGCTACATGAGAGTTGACAAGCGAGAGTTTACATGAGAGTTCTCTCAACTTTCATTGCTTGATCAAACGAGAACAAGAGTTGCATGAGAGTTGACAAGCGAGAGTTTACATTAGAGTTTTCTCAACTTTCATTTTTTGATCAAACGAGAACAAGAGTTGCATGAGAGTTGACAAGCGAGAGTTTACATGAGAGTTTTCTCAACTTTCATTGCTTGATCAAACGAGAACAAGAGTTGCATGAGAGTTTTGTTCGCCTTTGTTGAAGGAAGTCTCAAAACTAAACAAAACTCATGAAATTTGATCCAGCTCATGCTCAAGTCGTTACAAATTTTGAAGAAAACCATTCGGTGCAAAAGCGAAGATATTCGTGCGATCCTATACACAGGAATCAAATTGCTGTGTCGTAGGTTTTTATTCTAGTGAAAACTTGCTCTACACAGGAGAGGGGGGTTTGGAGCAAGTTCAACGGGTAGTGTAGCGTTTTAGTTATACAAAGTAGGTCGTACTAAAGTTGCTAAAATTTTATCAAACTAATGATCATAAATTAAAACTAATCGAGACATACAGAGTGTAGTTTTTAACTTAGAAAATTCATACGACTCAAACTTCGTTGCTTCGACATTTTTTTACAAGATGGAGGTTTTCGCAGCCAATAAAGATGCGATCTGGAGTCATTGAAACAAGCTTTGGCAACCTTTTCAAATGTATCTGGCGGTTGAGAAACACAAAATAGTAGTTAAATATTGTCAATTTAAATACAATAGGCAATTCCAGCTTCTAGTTTATGCGTGCAGGGGGGGTGGTAAGTAAGGTATCATATTGCTGTCTATGCTGAAGAAATAAAAATGGCGGAGTGATAGCTTATACTTGTAAATATTGAAATATTTCGGTTGTTTCGGCAGTTTCTATTGAAATTTTTCAGCATAATCAGCAATATGATACCTTACTTCCCCGTCTCCCCCTGCGCGCATAAATTAAAAGCTGGAATTATCATTATCATTGATGGCGATATTTATACCGCAATATAAGCAAAACTCAGAGTAACATCACAAACATCATATTCACCTGAATACATAACACCAACACAGAAAAAAAATTCAAAATATAAGCAAAAGTTAGTGAACCTTCAGACATCGTACCATCGAAAATCTCTTCATTTTAGCATTGTTTTACAGACTCTCTCTAACCAAGTTGAAAAGTATATTTATTAGTTCTGAACGCGTGTTACGTAACATACAAAAGATTTTCCTTTTAACTATATCGAAGTATTTCTGGTTATATTCGGGCACATAATTATGTTAAACCAATTTTGTCAGAAACAAAAATATTTAGAAATATTTTTCCCGCAATAGGTTCGTGGCATGTTTTCGATATTTTTGATGAATTGCCAGGACAGTTGTAAGTGTATTTCCTTGAGGGTGTTCAGGGTATTTCCCGTGGCCTGAATACCAAACAGTTTCCAGTATTAATATCTCTTCATTATATGCAGTTTGGTTAAACGGGATTCCTTGGGTCAGAGAGTCTATTAAATCGACCACGAAAGTCTGCCAGCGAGCTTTATAGAAATCCCGCAGTAATCCACTCCACATTTTGTTCGCGTAATCTTCGATATTCTCGCGTGGACCCCACGTTGTAATTTGATTCCGCGCGTTGAACTCGAAGAGCCTTTTCCCGCCTGTGATTTTCGGGGCCATACGCTTTGCAGCGTTGAGCCATCGACCGAGTAAGAAGTACTCGTTCGTCAGCAGGACTAGGTCCATGTTACCGATTAGATCCAATAGATTATCCGCAGCTTGTTTGACGCGGGGTAGGTTTTTTGCTTGATAAGATGCAATGAGGTCATTGTAATACGTGATCGAGATGACCTGTAGAGCTTGTCGTGTGATGTCCACCAAATCGTACCTAAATATTCAACATCGTTCACTTTTAGTCTTAGTGCTTATACAAATTTGGCTAACATTTTTTACATCGTTGCTAACTATTCCACATACGTGAAAACGCACAAGTTGTTACAGGTTTGCAAACAAGTTGTTACAAATCTGTTCACAAGCTGTCGACAAGTTGTGTTCGCACTGCTTGTTCCCAGTTGTTGTAACAAGTTTAGAACAAACTGTTAACAACTTGTAACAAGCTTGATGATATTATCAGACTTGTTACAAGGTTGTCTGATACAGTCATGCATGATATAACAAGAATGTTACAAGGTTGACGACACATGGTTGTAACAATATTGTTATATCATGACTGCATTGGACTTTTTGGTACAACGTTGCAACAAGTCTGATAATATCAACAAGGTTGTTACAAGTTGTTAACAGCTTGTTCCAAACTTGTTGACAACTTGGAACAAGCAGTGCGAACACAACTTGTTGACGGCTTGTTGGCAGACTTTCTATAAGATGTGAGATTTTACAGAAGCATTGAATAGAACAGAAGTAACTGAGCATTAGATTTATGTACAAGAGTTATTCAGTCATGTTGATAATTCCAAAGCTTAGTATTTTATGTTTTTGTATACTAGAACAAACTTTAGATAACTCACATGCCAAATAGACAAATCCCATTATAGACTAATTTTAAAACTGGGCAAGGAGATGCAAATAAATCACCACAGCTAGAAAGAGCATACTAAAATAAGTAAAATTGCAAAGTTTGGTTGCAAAATGCGGAAAATATAGCCTTGCAAAGTTTGCAAATTTTGTATACTTTTGCATTGCGTGCGGAAATTGCTACCATTTTCGGTCCGAATGTGGTATGAATTTTCGCACGCAATACAAAAGTATACAAAATTTGAGAACTTTGCAAGGCTATATTTTCCTCATTTTACAACATTTCGCAACAAAAATTTGTAATTTTACTAATTTCAGTATGCTCTTTCTACTTGTGGTGATTTATTTGCATCTCTTTGCCTAGTTTTAAAATTAGGCTATAATGGGAATTGTCTATTATCATGTGACTTGTGTATAACCAAACGTTAGTGAAATTTGTCTACAAAAAGGAGTACAATCGCGATTTAAATTGTACGAAAAGAATCTTACCTGAATGTTGCGGAATTGACGAGGTTTGGTGCTGCTTTCACCATCCCGTCCCAGGCTCCCAATACAAGATCGGGTTCGTACCAAATGTCGGGCTTAAGATGAAATGCGGGTTTCATGATCGGAACTGCCCTGCAATGTTTGCCCGCACCTTGGACATCGTTGTAAACGCTGGTAAGAAGAGCCTGCATTGCAGACGAAAAATTATTACGAAACGTTTGAAAAGAAAAAACACCTTGTGGCAAAATTAATTAAAAATGAACGTTCTCTGACTAGGGGAAAAAGACCCTGGTAGACGCTGGTCATGTGATCTGCTAAAATCTAGCAGATTTCTAATTAACTAGCTTGGATTCCTTTACGACAATCATACAAAAAGCAAATTATAAATTAAACTATAAAATAAAATTCATCCAAATCTCAAATATTTATTGATCTCATCTTGGATTGCTAATTAAAAATCTGCTAGATTTTAACAGATTACGTGACCAGCGTCCACCAGGGTCCAAGAGGAAAGATCCTGGGTACGAGGTTGCAACTTTCAGGATGTGCAGTTCTTACGCAGTACTACTTACCTCCCACGCGATGTTGACCTCGCTGTTGTCAGCGCCATATCTTCGTGTTGTATATTCCTCAAGCCAGGACTGTGTTTCCACTTGTTCTTCTCGCCATCCCATTTCCAACATGAGGTCGTACAGTACGTAGTTTGTCTCGATTCCTTCTGGGGTAATGCCAATGCCTACCATACTGTTCTTGCTTTGCAATGCTTTTACTGGTTCTGAGGAGAAAGTACAGGGTTATAAATACTACTACAGGAATACTTTTCCAAGCTTGTTTCCTGAAGGTGGACAAACCAGGAAACATTGTTTCCTAGTCATGTTTCCTGAAGGTGGACAAACCAGGAAACATTGTTTCCCAGCCATGTTTCCTGAAGGTGGCAAACTAGAAAACATTGTTTCCCAGCCATGTTTCCTGCAGGTGGCAAACTAGAAAACATTGTTTCCCAGCGATGTTTCCTGCAGGTGGCAAACTAGAAAACATTGTTTCCCAGCCATGTTTCCTGAAGGTGGGCAAACTAGGAAACATTGTTTCCTAGCCATGTTTCCTGAAGGTGGGCAAACTAGGAAACATTGTTTCCCAGCCATGTTTCCTGAAGGTGGGCAAACTAGGAAACATTGTTTCCCAGCCATGTTTCCTGAAGGTGGGCAAACTAGGAAACATTGTTTCCCAGCCATGTTTCCTGAAGGTGGGCAAACTAGGAAACATTGTTTCCGGAAGGTGGACAACCAGGAAACATTGTTTCTTAGCCATGTTTCCTGAAGGTGGACAAACCAGGAAACATTACCTAGCAATGTTTCTTTAAGGTGGACAAACCAGGACATATTGTTTCCTAGCCATGTTTCCTGAAGGTGGACAACCAGGAAACATTGTTTCTTAGCCATGTTTCCTGAAGGTGGGCAAACAAGGAAACATTATTTCCTAGCCATGTTTCATGAAGGTCATGGACAAACCAGGAAACATTGTTTCCTAGCCATGTTTCCTGAAGGTGGGCAAACCAGGAAACATTGTTTTCTGGCCATGTTTCCAGAAGGTGGACAAATCAGGAAGCATTGTTTCCTAGCCATGTTTCCTGAAGGTGGACAAATCAGGAAGCATTGATTCCTGGCTTGCTCACAAGAGAGTGGTACTTTATTTACCTGTTGCAATGGTCTTTAGTGTTCCATGCATACCGATATTACCACCAAAGTTATGAAGCATGCACCAGATAAAAGGTTGACCGTAAAATGAGTTGGTTTTCATCCACACAGGAGAAATCTCTGCATATAGATCTAGTACGATCATTTTCCCTTGTGGCACTCCTGAAAATATTGTGTAGTCCGTTTTTCAGTTACACATTTTCACAACAGCCCTCCGTTTAACAATAGTACTATCTAATCATGATCCAGTGATGAGAATGTTCCATTGTCTTTTCATTGTTTTAAAAATCCCACTGTTCTCCATGCCATCCAGTCATGATCCAGTAATCAGAATGTTCCATTGTCTTTTCATTGTTTTGAAAATCTCACTGTTCTCCATGCCATCTAGTCATGATCCAGTGATCAGAATGTTCCATTGTCTTTTCATTGATTTGAAAATCCCACTGTTCTCCATGCCATCCAGTCATGATCCAGTGATCAGAATGTTCCATTGTCTTTTCATTGATTTGAAAATCCCACTGTTCTCCATGCCATCCAGTCATGATCCAGTGATCAGAATGTTCCATTGTCGTTTCATTGATTTAAAAATCCCACTGTTCTCCATGCCATCCAGTCATGATCCAGTGATCAGAATGTTCCATTGTTTTGAAAATCCCACTGTTCTCAGTCACTCATTGTTTTGACTTATTTAACGTTTCACCTACTGGGGTCCTGAAATAATAAAGAGTACACACCTTGCAAATACGCTTGAACTTGAGCTGGTTGCCAGAACCCAGGATCACTTACAAACAACCATCCTTGCATTAACCACACAGCGTTTTCATCAGCACTTGCCATGGCTTGGTACACTGCTTTGCTTGCTTGAGCGAGATACGTTGTGGACGAGGTCCGCGGTTGCATTTCATTGAACGTGTCTCCGTTATAAACATGATCTGTGCCGTTATATTCTGATATTTGTTCTTCAATAAACGTTTTGCCAATACTCTAAGTAAATGAACTCTGTTTATACTGGAATTAAAGCTTTACAGTTATAAAACGTTTAGGGTCCGGTCATCATTTATGGCGGGGTTGGCATCATTGAAAATTTTGTTTTGGCAGAAACAAAATTTTCAGTGAGTTTCTGGTTGGGTAAATGAAAACAAAACAACTCAAGGATTGGGTAATAAAAATTATTGTCATTTCCGAAGCTTGACTCGCTCAAATATTGAAGACTAAAAAGCAATGACTTTCTTGATGATTTTCCGATTTCTCAGGAGACAAATGGTGTCAAAGAAAGTACATGTACAGACAACATCTAAGTTTAGACTGCAGAAAATTGCACAAGCAGTTATCAAACTCATGTCACCGAAGTGGTAAAGGACATGTGGGACAACTGAATAATGGTATCCTTTTGTAAAGTTTTTGGTCAGGGGTGGGAATGTATTAAGACATATCAAGGCTGAAAACGACTGTTTTTACTGCGAAACTTCCCTTGGGCTATCCAGGAAAATATTGTCAAATATAAGATCAGTGACTCACTTGAAACAATAGATCTCCGGGATCCAAAAGATACGTAGGTACATAAGGTGGACTAAAGTGACCCCAATGGCTCAATGTTGATACTGACGCGTTAGGAAAGATCCGCATGAGAGCTTTAGGGATATGACCTGCAAAAGTGGGAAGAACAGGAATCATACCAAAACTTCTCATACGTTGCAATATCTTGTGTTGTAAAGCCAGTTGTGTTTGGTACCATGACGGGTTCTGTAATGGTCCTCCCCAGCCATCAATATTGCCCATGCGTGACCTGAAACAATTGGATTCAATCTTCATGGTTATAATGTCTAAGCTACCTGAAAAAGATATCTCAAACGTGGTGGTTCAGTGTAGGTAGTATTCTACAATAAGCTGTCGTGGTTTGTGTCTGAACTGCCCGAAAAAGACTGAAAACAACTCCACGTTTTGAAGGCCTTTTTTACCTTGCTATTAACCTCAACTTGACTGAACATACCAAGCTAAGAAAGCTACCCCGCCAAAATGTGCGTCTAATTCATCTTGCGTGAGGCCCATTTTCAGATACACTCGCTGCCATATTGCTTCTTGCGCTGTAAACGCCAGTGGCAAGTTAATACCATTCATGACCATCCAGTCAATCTCTTGCTCCCAGCGCGTCCAGTTCCACCAAACGAATGAATAACTTGACGTGCAAACATTTTGATAATATCTGAATCTAGGAAAATGGATAATCTGTCCCAGTTCTAACAAGTCGAACTACCTTGGCCTTAGCAAGATAATAACACCACGTTTTGGGTCTGTTCACACTAAGAGTCTAAAGCCCTAGGCGAACTAGGAAACGTTGTTGAGGAAACATTGTTTCCTACCAATGTTTCGCCATGTTTCTCAGAGTGGGCCAACACTAGGAAACATTAGTGAGAAACATAGGGAAACATCAAATGTTTCTGAATTCGCTAGGAAACATTTTTGCTTCTCGGGAAGCAAATTCTGTTTCCGCAACAATGTTTCCACGGGTGGGCAAACAGGGAAACATTTGAGGAAACATCGAGAATCACAAATGTTTTCACAACAATGTTTCCTAGTTTGCCCAGGGCTTAAGCCGTTAGCCAGTCTCGATTCGGTTTCGCAAAACGAGCTCAAATAGTGAAAAAAAATAATAAAAAATGCTAAAGTGGAGAGACAGTGCCGCTATTCACACGAAGCCGCTATTAAAGCGCTCCAGTGTGAATGGTAGTTTTACAAAAAATATGGTAACTACAATAGCATGTATTCCGAATATTCCCACAATTCTTGCTGGCTTAACAACAAAATATATTTATTGACGTTCATTTGAAAGTCAATTTCAGTTTGTCCGAAGTTTGTGCTCATAAATAACAACCTTAATCTACGTTATAAAAGGAGAATCTGTTTTCCCCGATAGTTCATCTTATGCGGCCTGTGCACCGATAGAGGCCTCAGGCCATAAACGGATTTACACCAGACGAACTTTTTTTCCACAAATTGTCTAGACACAATCCTCCATCTCAAAAGTATATTAAATGGAGCAAGTCGAACAAACGTACCTATGTGGAACAACGACTTTTTCGATATGTGTAATAACCGGAAGTGGTTTAGATATAGTCTCCAATTGATTTCCACTCCAAGAGATATGCGCTTTGCAATCATACTTCAAGAAATGATAAAATGCCCAGGCTGCCGCCACTCCAGTGGTACCGGTCAGGACGAGTTTCTCGGCGACTGTTTGAAGTGTGAATGCATCTTGCCCAGGTTTCGCTAGAGTTGGATCGACAACCACGGTAAATTCAGACGCTCGGTCTGGAAGCAACCTTGATATAAGCCCTCTCACTGCCAATTCCTGCTCTTCGACTGGTGTTTTAGTCTTGAGATTTTCGAAATTCTGCCATACCGCGGTAGAGAAAGGTATAAGTAGGCTTGCACAAGCCCAGAACAGTGTAGATTTCATGTTGAAGTGTTTTCGTATTGGCATTAGTTGCGCAAGAAATGACGCGATCTCTTGCATTGTAGCTAAAATTCCATCCTTTAGAATAAGAGACCGGTCATTATTTATGGTCTGCGGTGGCACCGAAGAGAAAAGGGTTGGGTAAACAAAATTTTGAGGGTGTAAAAGGTTGGGTGAAAAACAAAACAACTCGAGGGTTGGGTAATGAAAATTTATTGTCATTTCCAAAGCATGACCCACTCAAATATTGAAGATTAAAAAGCAACGTCAACAATCGTATGTCAAGACAATATGCCAAATCAATCAGAGTCTTGATCATTTTCCAATTTGTCTGGAGGCAAATGGTGTCTCCAAAGAACGTACATGTCCAGACAACATGAAACTTTAGACTGCAGGAAATTGCACACAGCTGAATGGTACCCTTTTGTAATGTTTTTGCCCAGGGGTGGATATTTATTTTTCAATTGAAATTTGAGAATGGGTAAAAATAATTTTGACTTTTTAAATAATTGGATCAGTAAGTCGATTATTAAAGTCGATTACATATGTTCGTCAGAATTCCTACATTGGGACAGAAGGTTGCTTCTTGGTTTTGCCTGTGATTTTGGTGTAACTGTTGCAATGCTGACGCCATGATCCTAGCCAGTGCGCTTATCAGAGACGTTCCCCCCCTGAACATATTGAAAATGGCGGACGTCCAGGGGGTGAATGCCTCTCATAAGCGCACGGGCTGGACAGCTTTTAGGACTGCTTGCTGTATTGTAATACTTTTTGAACGAAGGCTTGCGTGGCAAATTGAAGCTGACGAATATAAGAGCAAAACAGCAGTGCTGGCGCATAGCAAACGATCAAGGGAAACTTATCAAGGGAAACTTGTTCACCGGACAACAGATAATACGTTGTATTAATTTAGATAGATAGCACTATATCTAATAGATAATATTGATTGTAGTCTTGTAGATATTCGAATATAATCTTTCAACAAAGTCAAAAACAAAATGTTTCTGATACACAACACTATGTTACTGTTCCTTTTTTTCTCTAAGTTTAATGTCAAACTTCCAACAACTAGACTCTAAGAATCTAACTCAATATCGGTCATTGATTATTGATAATTGATGCGCGTCAAAGTTCAAGATAGGAAATATCTCATTCTCAAGCAGGCAGCAATATTTGTCTGTTCGCAGTGTCCTCCCTGACCTCATAATAACCAGTTATCGTATTGAATTTCGCTTTCGGCGACAGACTTCCATACACACTTGTCAGGAATCCTTCGGTATTAAATGGTGCTTGAAAACTTTCCCCTTCGAGTTTAATATTACTCAACGGGTACATGTCCTTGTAGTGAACTGATTTCGTAATTGGATATATGTAGTAGAGTGATATGTACTTCTCACCGACACGTTGGTAGAACTGTAAATCAACTGTACAGTGATGAAATGAAGCCCCGTTGTATTTTGCCCCAAGTAAATTATATTCTCCATATCCTGGATCGTAAACTTCGATTTTATCCGCGTACGTTGAAACGTATCTCGCTTCGTACGGAGCAGGCAGTAGCTCTTTGATTTTTCTCAATATAAAAGGAATGTTGGGTTTTGGGTCGTTTTCGCAAAACATTGCAATGTCGAAATCGTCATCGTGTAATATGAAGCGACCATTTCGCCAAGCGCCAAGTAACGTTCCGTTCTCAATTGTCCACGGAATGTCAAGTTTATTCAAAATTTTATCGCGAAGTAAAACGGCTAGTCTCATTCGTGGTTCGCCGTATTTATCCATGCCCGAAATGGGGCTTTTAAAGTTGTTATCCGAACTCATATTTACTGTCACACTAGCTCTGAACTAGTCCAAAGTTCGCACAGTTGTTTGAGACAAGGTTGGTAAGTTAGATGATTAATTAGGCCAAATCGTCAATAGTGCCGTTTAGAAAACAAAAGGCCAAGACAAAGAAAAAAAAGGCCTAGTGTGACGGTGTTTGGCCTAATTATTCAGCGAACCTACCAACCCTGGTTCGAGAAAAAATGTTAGAAATCACCCTTTTGTTGTTAAAAGCGCATTATTATACACCTGGGAATTTAATTTTAATTAAGAACAATGAGTTCCCTATCCTTCTCTTCTATTATCTATGGTACATGTAGTCGTTTGAACCATTTTTAATCATGTACAACCAGGGTTGGTTCACACTTGGCCTTTGTTTTCTTCGTCTTGGCCTTTTGTTTTCTTTGTTTTGTTTTTTTTCTTTTTTCAGGGCATTCAAATTATAACAATAGGATAATTTCTATAGTGTCACTTTTTTGGGGGACAACCTGTACAACGGAAGAGATTATTTCGCTGGCCTCAGAGTGACAAAACGTAACAAAGCAACGGTTTTACCAACACTAACCCTATTCCAAACACCAACTCTAACCCCTAACTCTAATCCTTATCCTAACCCTAACCTAACCCTACTCCAAATTTGTTTCTAAACCAATCTTGAAGAAAAGTGTTTTGACGAAATGTCATTCTGAGGTCAGCGAAATAGTTACAACCGGCCAGGACCATAATGCTGTGCGATTGTGTAAACTGTCGAAAACGTCCATTAACGTTCGTGTCATTCTGAGCGATGGTATTTAGTATATGTAGCAAATATGGCGACTTTTTAACAACAGGAATGAGTGAAAAAAAGTTTAAAACGGTTTGAAAACAATGTCCTCTAGAGCTCTAAGGAAATTAAAAGGTGGGTACTGTACAGTTTTAAGTAATTTACACTTTCAAGTATTTAATGACGTGTTTTTGAAGTTTTGAATGCGTATAAATGACTATTTTTAGCATGTTTTTGATGGTGTTTATATATGGACATATGGTGTAATTGTCTTGGTGGCTTTAAATGTTACAGGAGATCAGATAGATAGTTAGACACTTCTAGAGCAAGAAAATTAAACCAGATCTCTCAATTCTATTTTATATTTGTCATCAAACACAAGTCCATCACATAAAATGAAAATAATTAAGTTGAATTAACATGGTTATTTTCTTACTGTAGAGGCCCTGTTAGGGTGAGTATGCATGTCGTTCATCTAATTTTCAAAACAATGTACTGTCGCCACTTGAAAACATTGCTATGTCGCTTTTGGAATTTCGGTATTGTTTTCATTCTCTGTACAATTTAGACAGAGTTTGTGTCCAGTGTCGTTATTTCATTGTTTATATGTTGCCATTTTAAAGCAATGTCACCTGTCAGAATTTACCCTAACTTGGCCTCACTGTACGATAGTGTTGGGTGAAACACACCTCGCAAGCAAGGGCCTCCACACCCGCGGTGGTACGGAGGCCCTTGCTTGCGAGGTCCGAGTCTATTACTTGGGTACAGCTTGGTAAAGTGAAAATATTCTTCAAAGGTCAAGATGAGCTGGAAGTTGCTGCAGAAGATTTAGAAGAGGATGATTTATTAGTGAGTTCACAAAAATCTCGTAGAAAGAACAAGAACTCGTCTGAGAGAAGCAATGCATTTGATGTGGTAGGTTGCTAATCAGTTATACTGTAGGCCTTTTGAACCCCAGAAAGACACCTCAATAAGATTTGCCTAGGAAAATGCATTGGTGAGCAAGCCTATTATATATAGGGTAACAGTGGGGCCCAGGTACATGTATTTTTTTGCTAACCCTGTACTAGCCCTATAACCTTGACATTAAATCTAATGCTAACTCTAGCCTCTGCCCTAGCCTTAATCTTATAGTAATCTTAATATATGAATCTCAGAGTGGCTAATCAATATGAGGATTATGAGCCATGAGCCTGAGAGTGGCTTGGTACAAATTTCCGAAATATCAACAATTCTCACACCAGAATTGGTGCAGAATTGGTCAATTATGTTCCTTCAAATGTTTTGCATTTTTTTAAAAATGTTCTTGAATGTTCTCAGATATCTTATTGAAGACTGTTCAAATGAACTCTGCAGTCTGATTCTTATATAATAATCAAGATTGATGTTTCATGTAGTTGCTAAATGGTGATGAGGATTGTGTAGTTGATGAATTATCTGAAGATGACGAAACTGATGGTAAACCTGTCAACAATGATGAAAAGGAAAACCAGAGTAGCGGAATAAACAATAAACCAGCACCTAGGAGTAAAAAGAAAGCCAAGAAAAAGAAGAAAAAAGGAAAAACAATTGATGATTCAAATGTTCAAAAAGATGTGAGTCATCAATAAAAATAAGTTGATATGAAAATCTTAGTCAGACAAATAATTGTGAGACTAAGGGGCTGGTTATATGAACGTCGGGCTGACCCTGGTAAGCAGGATGATTTCCTCTTGTGTTTATATGAGAAAATTTCATCCTGCTTGCTGGGACAATTTTGTCGTTTTGACAAAATTCTAAAGTGCCATCTTCAGTTAGATTTTTGCTTGTCTGAACAGGAGGAGATATTTTCATGTCAATTTAAATAATGTTTCAAATGTTTAAGGAAGATGAGGATTTTCTATCATGGCAATCTGAGGTTCCATCAAATCTTACAGGTTAGAAGTAAAGCCAAGTGTGTGATTATGGTTTTCCCCAAATACTGCGATTAACTTCCCAAAACATCTCCAATATACCCCCTACAGTGCCACCAGAAGTCTCCCCCCTTCTCCAAATACCCTGCAAAATATTGTCCAAAACCAAAATATTGTCCTCCCAAAAATATTCTGTAAAACCCCAGAGAATTCCCTGTAATGCCCCCCCTGACTAACCCAGACAACCCTCACCCCTGTAAAATTAAAAGTCTCCTTGAACAATCCTCAAAATGCAAGAATATATCTCCCATCTTTGTCCAACCCCCCCCAATTTCATTCTCTAATTTTACTCTCTGCTATGTCCCCATTTTAACAGGAGCAACGTCTGTCAATCACGATGGAATGAACACGAAACCATTGCTAATGATTGAACACAGGTAAAGATTTCTTGATTCAGTATGGAAAACATTTAAAAAGCAGAAAGTTTCACCAGCACGTTTTTTGCATAATGTGATTTGTGTCCGTTACAGGAATCTAAATGCTGAAAATGAATTATGTCGAAAATTTGGTTCGCGAATTGTACGAGGCGATAGAGGGTTAGTGTGCTTAAACTCAGCCATTTATAATAAAGACCTTTGATTTAAATACACTGTTGTTTGAATGTCTTGATCTAAACAATGAACTTTAATTAATGGAGATTAATTTATGTTTGATCAGATAACAGCTAGATTTGTTCAGAGTCAGGAAATCTTGCGAGCTTCGCAATTTTAAGCACTTTATTGTATATACAGCTTTTGAACTGTGGTATTTTTATTTTGAACAGACGACAAAATCATCGCAGAACCCAACGTGCAACGTGGTAAATATCCTTTCTTTTAACCTGACTTTCCATTTCCCATTTCTATAAACTGTGATTATTTCAAGGATTAGGCAACGCGTTAGGTATTAGAATTACGGTTAGGAATGGATTAGAGGAAAAAAGATTAGATTTTAGAGATAGGAAAAAAGTTAGAGAAAAGGTAACTGATTTCATAAGGAGACTATATTTTTTACGAAGTTGCTAACATTATGGAAATTGACTTGTCTATAGGTTAATAAACCCTCGTGACAACTGGCCTAAAGTTGGAAAATCAGGAATTCAGATGAAATTATTGCGCATTAAAGATGGGTGAGTATATATAGTGTCAAGACTGAATGTAGCGAGTCCCTTGATTATTATGAGGTAATCTTACCCCGGTTTTCCACTAGCGAATTTTCTCGCGCGAAGCGACCTTTTTCCTTTGTCGGTATCACTTGTTACGTCAGCAAGACGTGGCAAAATGGATGCTGACAAAGGAGAAAGGTCGCTTCTCGCGAAAAAATTCGCTAGTGGAAAACCGGCTTTACACCACAACAGATCATTATGATCTGAAGACAATGATACGATGTTGACTGTTTTTAATATACGTTGGTCCATTTCCACTCAAGAAAATTTTCCGCGGAAAGAAAAGTTTGTAAAATGTGATTGGCTGACACGAATTTTTCGCCCCCAAAAAATTTTGAAGTTCAACTTTTAACACTGATATTTTCGGAAAATTTTCTGTCTGTGGAAAATTTTCTCGAGTGAAAATGGCCATTAAGTTTTAGAAATACTCTTATAAAATCAACCCTCCAAATTAAGATAATCTTTTTTATATAGTTTGTTGTCGAATGTTGGAATGTTGCAAGATTTTCTGTTTGTTTGTTTTTAGGTATTCATACTTTGCGTTCGAGCACACCCCGTCTTATCAAACTATTCAGTTTAAGTTCTTGGATGCTGTGGAATCTATGGACCCAAACAATATTTCGGTAAGAATAATTCAGTACAGTACCTTTCTTGGTTTGTGTCTGAACTATCTAAAACACTATATATATATGTAAGTGTAACTGCTTTTTATTTCGCCATATTTAGGGAATCCTCAGTGTGTATGGTTATCACATCGACTCGCTACTGCAGTTAAGTGAAGTTTGTAAGATGGCCGAAGATCATCAAATGGCAGCCGAACTTGTGGGTAGGTTTTGATTATCGAACTTTTGCAGATCTGTTTCAGGTTGGGCAATAGATTATGAAAAACTTCACAAATGCTGAAAATTACAGGAAACTAAACTACATCGATCTATTTCTATATAGTTGCTTCGAAATGAAAATAACGATGAAAATAATTAACATAACGCTTAACCCCTATCACCTGAGACCAGTTGTTCGAAGCTGAATCAGCGCTAATCCTGGGTTAAAATTTAACCTGCTGTTTTAGTTTATATATTTCTGGGCGTCTGTTTATTTCAAAACTTCAGAGAAGAAAACTCTACTGATCCAGACAGGAAATATTTCCAAATTTATAGAAATAAATGAACTGTTGCATGGGAAACTTGTATGTATCACCCATGCATTATTTTATTTTGTAGAGCGAGCACTGTACTGTTTTGAATGTAGTTTTCATCCGTTGTTTAATGTGACGCAAGGAAAATCAAGAATGGAATATAAAAATGCTGAAAACAGGTACCCTTTATACTGTACTTCACGTATTTAACTCAGTTACTTAATATTAATAAATATTACTTTGTGTCACTTTTTTAGACCATTTTTCTTGGCGTTATTTCACCATCTAAAGTTCGTTGGTCAAAAAGGTAAAATTGTATTCTCACCTTAGAGTCGTCCAAAACTATAGTTAGTTGAAAATATATGGGTAATGGGTAGAAATGTTTGGATGAAATTTATTGCACTTGAAGCTGAAAACGGTATAGCAACTATGTTTAAATTGCTGTAGTAATATTGTGTCAACGTATATATTTTCTGTTATTCAGGGTGCTACAGAACTGCGCTTGAGTTATGCAAACTGTTGTTAAGGTATTGTTGACCAATTTTCGACCAAGTCCTTTCTCCTTTCTTCTGAAGAATAAAAGAAACAATTTCCTGTGTTTCTAATTTTGTTCATTGGTGTTCGTTCCCAGTCTCTCTCCAGACGAAGACCCTCTCTGTGTGCTCTTGATGATGGATTTCTACGCATTGCATTCTGGGGAATATGATTTTCTTATCAGACTTTACGATGAGTGGGAGGTACGGAGATGCTTGTGGATGTTTTTAAAATTATTTTTTGTACACGGGTTAGGGTGTTGGTTGCACAGATATTGGAACAAACGAGGGATGACCCTTAATTAATAGATAGTTCTATCAATATAAATAAAGTTTAGTTTAGTTTAGGTTTCCTCCTGTAGTAACACTGGTTCAATAAGAGATGATCCTTACTGGACCTCTAGGGAGAACAGTTTAGAACTGATATAGCTATCCAGTATAAATAAAGTTAGTTTAGTTTAGGTTTCCTCCTGTAGTAACACTGGATCAATGAGAGATGATCCTTACTGGACCTCTAGGAAGAACAGTTTAGAACTGGTAGAGCTATTAACATTTCTTTCATTTCACAGGCTCACAAGAACTTATCCCAACTTCCTAATTTTGCATTCTCCATTGCCTTGGCTCATTTTCATCGCTCAAAAGTTAACAATTGTGTGGCAACGGCTGACGAGCTGGTACGAGTATATACGAAGTTTGTATGGATGTAAATATTACCATTATTAACTATAATACATATATGTTTTTATTTTACAGATACAGAAAGCTTTGATCAATTTTCCTTCGGTAAGCTTTAGAGCTCGTGAGTTTTTAAGAGAAACGGTTAGGGTCAATATTCCACACTGTCCACCTCAATTTCATTACAGTCGTGATCGTATTTTCTTGCATGTTTTAGGCGCTGATGGCTCTGTTGGATAAATGTGCCATTGCTCTTGATGCGGCCATGATGAATCATCCTTTCTTTGGAATAGCTTCACATGCAAGGTTAGGAAATATCATTATATGGTGCGGACGTTCAATAGTTCTTCGTTGACATTTTAATTTTTGGTTTCTAGCGAATCGATTGGTTTGAAACAACTGATTGCTTTATTTGTTGGAAGAACATTTTCTGAGTGGAAAGACCCAGAGGTAGGAAATTAATTCAGTCAATAGCGGACGAAAAGTGTGAGGGGGGGGGGTGCAGATTTAGGTTGCCTACATAATCAACATATTCTGTCCCTTTTGTTGTTGCAAATTTCAGTTCTCGTCTCGAAAGGATATAAGGCTTTCTTGGTGGCAAAGATCTTGTTACAACATAGTTACTTAGTCTATTTGCTATCTTTCAGAGGCTTTACAATATTGATGGGTGTATTGCCTCCTTAGTGTCCGCCATTGTCAGGTTAATATGTACAAATTGTTTATTTTTAAACCAAGCAATTATTGTCGCAGGTTGTTGATTGGTTAGCGAGAAACGTGAGAATAGTTTTGACAAAGGTGGATAAAAAAGATCCGTATGCAAATGAATGTGAAGAAAAGTAAGTAAAAAAATCTTTGATATTTCTTTTCTCTCATGTCCTGGTCAAACGAGAACAAGACTTGCAAGAGAGTGGACTGGATATTACCACGCGCGAAAACGCTCATCAACTCTCATCAAAATTTGAACCAGCACAAAGTCATTGAGAGTTGATGAGAGTTGTTTCACCGAGGCTTAACAGAATCCTCAACAATAAATTTTTTTGCAGACGTAAAGTTCGTTATCAAGGAACGCCAAGAAATATATACAGACATATTATTTTATCAGGTAATCTCTCTTTCCCGCGCTGTTTGCACAAACTGCTGTATATGCACTCTCATGGTGTAATAACTCAAGATTTTTAGTTGTACCTGACTGGTACTCCACTGACTTTAAATCAAACCTCGCTCACAGAGCTGAAAAGCACGTTGCTACTCATGACTTTAGTTAATTCAGGGTTCGTACAAAACTCGAAAGTCCTTGAATGTCCTTGAATTTGAAAACAAAATTTCAAGGTCTTGAATATCCTTGAATTTGTAAAGAAGTACTTGAAAGTCCTTAAATTTTTCTTGCCTTAGTTTTTGGATATTTTCTGAAATTGTTTGACATTCAAAACGGTCATTTTGTTGAATTGATTTTGCATGTCCATATCTGACAAAGCTGTTTGAAACTCATTAAAGTTGCGTTTTGAATAATTCAACGTCAGATTGAATTCTTCAAAACCTTTGATTTCAACCCACCCAACAAATTGATTTCAACCCTTTATCTTCAGTATTTAGTCCTTGAATTTGCTGATACATGGCCTTGGATGTCCTTGAAAAGTCATTGAATTGGACTTTTCCTGACATGTACTGTACGAACCCTGTTAATTGTATGAATGTTTATTGCAGATATAAAGGAAGCTTCTACGTCTTTACCTGTGGTACGTTTTTTAAATTCGAAAGTGAAAGTGTATTTTTCGCATGCGACCCTCGGTTTGTTTGTACATATATCAAAGTTGGTATTGAAATATTGTTTCTCTTCAAAAAGGAATTGACGATCTCTCCAGTGATGTCGTATGACCCACTTCCTCCTGTGGACTCAGTTGCTGGTTACACAAGGCCTGAAAGGTGGGATCAACAGCTTTCTTCTCTGGTTCAGTTGCTAAATCTGGATTTACTGGATAGCTCTTTCAGTTCTAAACTCGTTGTATCCGTCGGAGGTTGTAGCAAGCACAGTTTAATCTGTTGTTTTCCTTACAGAACACGCAGAGGACCACAAGACACCAATGCCATGGCAGAATTCTTAAGATCTCTTTGGCCGTCCTATTCTCTAACTGTAAGTAAACCAAAGTAAATCTGTCACAAGTTGTTATATTATACATGCCTTAAGTTGTTGTGTATAGTGTTAAATCTTTTCCTTATTTCTAGTAGTCGACGTTTTTTCTTGCTTCTATGAAAGCCCCCCATACGGTCAACAAGTTTTTCTTGACCAGTTTTGTTGCCTCGTGTTAAACATTTATCTCACGTCGAGATCGCCTTTTGTTTGGCAAAACTATAGAAGTATTTCTTAAGCAAATAAAACTTGTCTTGAAAATGTGCCCGTCTGCTGAAACCGCACAATTCTGATTTCTTCCTAGCCCCCAGGCAATGGGTTGGAGGACATCGGTGACGATCGTGTACACGCGGAGATTCCAGGAGCAGAAGGAGACGCTAGTGGTAATCTGACACGAGGTGTTGAACATTTGATGACTGCTATGAGAGAATTATTGAACACGATGACGTATCGTGGGGATCTCGAGGACGGTAGGAGTGATGAGGAGGAAGGATGGGAGTGAATTGGGATAATGAGGGGAAACTGTAAAAAGATTCGCGCCATCCATTTTGTGTTTTGCATATAGCCATAATACACAGTTGTACTTTGAGCAACTTTTTAGGTTCGGTGATCACAGTAGGAATTTTGCTTCGGTAAATGGACCATATTATGCAAATGTAATATAATAAATTTTGATCTTAGACAAAAATTTCATCACAGCTTGAAAGAGCATCACAAAATTAGTAATATTCCAAAGTTTCGTTGGGAAATGTTGTAAAGTGCGGATAATATAGCATTGCGAAGTTTGCCGTTTTTCAGTCATTTTGCATTACGCGGGGGAAATTGACAGCCCAATACCCTTTGGGGCTGTCAATTTCCCGTTTGTAATACAAAATGACTGAAGAACGGCAAACTTCGCAATGCTATATTATCCGCACTTTACAACATTTCCCAACGAAACTTTGGAATATTACTAATTTTGTGATGCTCTTTCAAGCTGTGATGAAATTTTTATCTAGACTTGTTTAGATCAAAATTTAGTCTATAATGCAAATGGTCCATTCTAAGTTTTGAAGGATCTGTAAGAAATGTTTGAAGGAACTTACTCACTTAGTTCCCTGAAACATTTCTTTACAAATCCTTCAAAATTTAGAATCTATCCATGCAAAATTCCTACTGTGATGACAGAAACTTTGATAGTGTCAGCCAGGCTTTTGTATATTTATATCGCATTCCAGTTCTATTGTGGCTATATGAACAACGGAAATGGATGATTGAACATTTGAATACTTTGGTATGCAAATGATTCTGCAATATATCCTCACGTAGAACGCCTCGGGTTTTAAGTACAGTACGAAAGAGTTACCTGGTGGGATTTGTGTGAAAATAAGTTTTTGCACCAGTGATCTCTATTTATAACTGGAGTAAGAAAATGAAAGAAAGGATAAAGTAAAAATAATAAAGCAATGCACATTGCAAATTGAACTACCGCAAGAAATATGCAAAGTCTGCTTTGCATCGTAAATATTGACATAGAATATGTGGAATAGTCATGTCTATTCTGTGATATTGATTATGCGCATAAAAGTGGACATCCTTTTCCGGTCAAATCAGTCTTGGAAATTTCCGGTCAAATTCTGGGAACGACATGATGTAACAATAAATAAACAGTAAATAGAAGGTCTGATACACTACAGAACAGACGAAGTGTAGCGAAACGAAAGTTGCAGGAATTGTAGTATTTTTTCCATACAAGATGTTTCTCTGATTTCTGGAGGATGTCTTACGTTCCGTTCAGAGGCTTTGGTAAGTTGCGTTAATATATTTAACAGTTGAATGACGGAAATTTCAAACAGTTAATATATGTGGCAAGCCGGCGCTTTCCTACACATTTCTTGCTTAGGCATTTCACAATTTTACAGTTATTTTATATCAAACAGCATACAGCTGCCATTGTTGAAATATTTACTACTAGAAGTAGAATAAAAAGGGCCTATTCTTCAAAAGTCGCTTAGCTTTAATAATCCTAGGTTAATTTACGAAAAACTTCAAAGCAATCTTTCCAACAAAGGCAACAGGTTATTTTATATTAACATGGAAATATTTTTTTTTACAAATCTGTCTTAATATCAATAGAACTTTTTGACATAAGCGGAAAATTGCTGGTGCATCCAAAATTAAAAGGTGGTTTAAATTGTAAAGGCCCCAGATGTTTACAAAACCTGCAAAGTGAAACTGAAGTAATTTGTAAAATGTAGGCGTGTGAGTTATGTTTGCTTCCTGCTAGTTGACTTAGTTGATACAAAATATTTGCATTGCATGGCGTCATTGGCATTTTGAATGAAGAAGTACTGTATTGGATGTGAAATATTTTGCATCTTGGAACATTTGTCTTTTTGAATCGACTTTAGAATCGATAAAGTACAGCTGTAATGTTGTGGACGTTTATACGTCAATTTTATCTTCATATTCCCATAGACCACAGACACAAAAATCTATTCTGTGCCACAGAATACCAAATCGTTAAAAGTAGGTACATTTGTGTACAAGTCCTAGCCAAAGTTTCCAGGTAAACTCTCTCATAGGGATAAGATAATAAAACGAATATTTGACCACAGGGAAGACATTGGCATTGCAAACAGGTACATTATTATAATGTAGTGTATTTACTGTCGTTCCAATTGAAGTGTTCCTCAAATATTGATTCAATACATTACCTCGGGCTGACCAATTCATTTGATCAAGTTCCTCGAAATATTCATACACTTCCTAGTATAATTGTAAACTTCCTGTTGAATAGTTTGAATGCACTAATCACCTTTGTTGTTTGTGAAACTAACCAATCATAAATAGAAAGGAAGTGACCAGAAATGATCAAATTCTTGGAATTGGCACTTTCACAGGAAGTGTATGAATATCTCGAGGAACTTGATCAAATGAATTGGTCAGCCCGAGGTAATGTATTGAATCAATATTTGAGGAACACTTCAATTGGAACGACAGTAAAGGTTTGTAATCCAGACATTTTATTATTGTGCAAATTAGCATGGATGTTCTCTGCATGATTATATAAAATGTTTTCAACTTCCATCTCAAAAATCTAAACATTTAACTTTACTTAAATTAGTTTTATATTTAACGAATATAAAACATTTTGTGTTGATATACAGTTATATCAACACAAGTGGAAATTGGGAAAATGAGAAATTGTGTAGAATTTCACACAATTTCGAGTTTTCCCAATTTCCACGAGTGTTGATATAACTGTATATCAATACGGAAAAGTTTTATATTATTTTTAATAATATAGCACGGAGAAATATAAAGAAAGAATTTTTCTGTGTTGACATTGAGTTATATCAACACGACTTCTAGACAACCAGCGTTAAAATTTACAAATGCTATATTATAATAGTTTATAAGCTAGTTTTTGTTGAAGAAACATTTTTATATGCCTCCATCTATATTCTCAGGGAATAACAGGAGGGGCCGGGGCGGGGGCCAGAGACGCAATGTCAACGAACAAGGCAGGATAGGAAGTGGCCGGTTTGCTGGCAGTGATGAACGAGGCGATCGAAATGAAGGCAGGCCAAGTTATGGAGGAGCATCTCGTGGAAATGGTCGGAGCGAGCAAGGTAGAGCGAAGAAGGAAGATGTCAAAAACTTTCAAAGTCCTGGTGGGGATGATAGAAGGAAATCTCACAAACCATCACCTCTACATTTTCAAAAGTTAAGAAGAATGCTTGCTGCTGATCCAACTGATGCGGTGTTGGATTTGCTCAAACATGAAGAACAACTTCAACATGTCCTCGATGATCCACATATCAGGGATGATTTCCTTGAACTCTTGCTTGAGATCTTGGCAAAGGTAATTAGTAATATTTCAGCAATTAGTTAATTAGGTATTAAGTAATTGGTTAAATTTAGTTACTAAGTCATTAGTTAATTAGTTAGTAAATAATTAGTCAGAGTTAATTATTAATTAAGTTATTAGTTAATTAGTTATTAGGTAATTAGTTAAATATAGTTACTGATAATTAGTTAATTATTAATTAAATAATTAGTTATAATTATTTGTTAAGTCATTAGTTATTAGCTTATTAGTTAATTAAGTAATTAGTTATCAGGTAAATATTAGTTAAATTTAGTTACTAATCATTAGTTAACTAGTTAGAGTTAATTAATTAATTAATTATTTATTAAGTTATTAGTTAATTAGTTATAATTAATTATTAAGTCATTAGTATTAGTTAATTAGTAATTAGTTATTTAGTCGCTAGTTAATTAGTTATTTTGCAGTCAGTTAACTAGTTATTCCTTAATTATTAGATATATGTTGTATATTTTACCCCATTTTGACTGTGCTGGAATTCCTGCTGTGTGGAATTGCAAAGTTCATTTTAAAATCATTAGTGTAACTTATTTTCTAAAACTTTGTTATCTTTCCTGTTTGTCAAGATTTTCGAGTTTGTTTGATATGCAAAATGTGACTTAAATGAAGTCACACTGCATAATGAATTTTTAGAAAGAAAACGTTTCCTTGTCAAACATGTGATAATCCCACTGACATTGAAAGTTATATACTTTAAGAACTATCAACGCTATCTTTTCGTGTGCAAATTTGAGTTAATGACAATTTTATCAAGCTAAAAACAGTCTTCTGTAAAATACATTATGCAGTGTGACGTCATTTAAGTCATATTTGCATGCCAAACAAAGTCCAATATCTTGATATACAGGAAATCTAACAAACTTTTAGAAAAACTTACATTATGATTTTAAATGAACTTTGCAATTCAATCATAAAAAAATCTTGCATAGGCACTTTAATTACGGTTCCAAATCATCCAGTCTCATATGAACAAAGTCTTAACTCTCGACTTTTGTTCCTCAGGTGTATGATACCCACATGAAAGAGAATTTGATGAAGATTATGGCGCTGTTTCCAAACACTGTGTTTCTCCGTGCACCTCTGTCACGCTATATCATGCAGCTACCAATGAAGAGAAGAAACACACCAGAAAAACACGTCAAAAACATCATTTTGTTCTTTGATCAACTGCTACGAAGGTTTCCTGATAATTATGCTGAGATTCCACTGGATTCTCTTGTTGTTGCGTCTATGAGCCTTGAGCACAACGTGCAAATCTCAACACAAGTACAGGTTGGTTGAGGATTGTTACTAACCTAAGTAATAAAGTTCATCTCGACCCATCTCTGCCAGTATACAGTAGGTAGTAGCAATAATAAGAAACTGGGATTGATAAGGAGTATAGACACCTCACCTCAAGGGTTGTTAATCATCCTTCCGTGTGGCTGATTGTTGAATTATGAAGGGCTCAGCTCAATAGTGACCGATGGAAGGCTTACTAGGACGCTTTCGACTGCCTCCATATATCTGATCACTGAGCAAAGCTAAAGGTGGAAGGGATAGTTTTTGGTGAGGGAGGAAAACCCGAAGCAAAGGAGTTAGATATCAGTGGACAACTTGCATGTTAGACTAAATTTTAATCTAAGTAAAGGGAAGGGAATCGAACACCACAGCTAAAAAGAACATAATGAAATTAGTAAAATTGCACAATTTGGTTGCAAAATGTTGTAAAGCTTGGAGTTTTTAAGCACATCAAGTGAGAGGAGGGTAGTCATCCAGTCACAGAATAACAATTCAACCATGAGAAGTCCCACTCGACATATCAAAAAGCTGATTACACTTGTTTAGCGATCTGGAAACGAGTGCGTTGTATAAATTTGTATAGCTTGGCCGCACTCGTTTCAGGTAACTAAACAAGTGCAATGTGGAGAGTGGAGCTTCTGGTTAAATTGTTATTCTGTGATCTAGTCTAAAGAATACCCTATCCTCCACCCGCTGTAGCAGGTTTTACCCTAACCATTTGTGCACATGTGCTATCCAATCACAACAATGTTGACCCTTGTCTAAATATCTTATCTTGTCAACCTACAGGCGCTGGTGAGCACGAGACAACGTATTATTGAAAAGAAATCAAAGTCTCGTTCTAAAGGAAAGAAAGAAGAAGCAGAGGAGCCGAAACCTCCTGATGATTTCCGAGAAATCTCCATCTATCCGACAGCCGATGATCTTGAAGTAGATAAAAAAGTTTTTCTGAGAAAGAATATCGTCGAAGGCAAGTATCAAGATGTCTCGCACTACCTTGACGTGCAGTTCCGACTCCTACGCGAAGATTTCATCGGACCACTCCGTGAAGGCGTGAACGAAATAGCGCAAGGAATTGGTCGGGATGCTCGGAATCAAAATCTACGAATATACAGAAATGTCGAGATTGTCGATACAGTTTGTACAAACTCCGGTATCGTGTACAGCGTTCGCTTTGATGCCCGTCGTTTGCATAGAGTCAACTGGGAGAATTCCAGGAGATTGATATTTGGCGCGTTTCTTTGCCTATCAAAAGATAACTTCAAAACGCTTGTATTCGCCACCATAACTGACCGCAAAGCAGAGCTTTTGAAAGACGGTTTCCTTCAAGTGAGATTCCTTGGTGATCTACCTGATGTTCAACGTGGTGATCACTTTCAGATGGTCGAATCCCCAGGCTACTACGAATCTTATTGTCATAATTTGCAAGGATTGCAAGAGTTGGCTGATGACAAGATGCCATTCAGTAGATATTTGGTGAACTGTGAAACAAATGTCCATGCACCAAAATATGTTGCTCAGCATTCTGATCACCAGTTTGATATTGATGGGTATGAAGTAGCTGACAGACCACCATCATCATCGCCGAGGTTTGTTATATATCCTGTTGCCTGCATGATGAAATTACTTAACTCTGATTTGTTTTAACCACAAGTTTATGTGTGTGAATGTTTGCTACGAATCCGTAGGTATAATGTGTTTATAGTGCTCACGCCCGTATTCTAAAAGCACACTCACACTCAATGAGTGGAGGTTCCATCTGAGCTTCTCTTGAGTGTTAATGCTGTTTTTGAATAGCTGGAGGGCTAGTGTCATACCTTCTTACTCGGTGACTACTCACCCTCCAGCTATTCAAAAACAGCATTGACACTCAAAAGAAGCTCAGATTGAACCTCCACTCATTGAGTGTGAGTGCGAGTGAGCTTTTAGAATACGCCCGTAAGTGTTATGCTTGTTATGATTTTTAACTATTTTCAAACAATTTTTCAAGGTACGATCTTCAGGAAGTGTTAAAAGCCAAAGTGGACGCGCGTCGTGTCAGAATCCTGGACCCGACAACTTGGCCAAAAGTTGATGACGTTGAATTGAACCAATCACAGCTCGAAGCGATTCAAGCGGCGCTGACCAAAGAATTCGTGGTCATCCAAGGCCCGCCGGGGACTGGGAAGACCTACGTTGGATTGAAGATTGTTCAAGCTTTGTTAAAGAATCAACAATTTTGGCGTGAGCGACAGGTGGAAGGCGCAGTCATTGATCGGCGTCTCGGAGTGGAGGTGAATTTAAGAATTAACTCTCCCATGCTTGTTGTTTGTTACACAAACCATGCCTTGGATCAATTTCTTGAAGGTAAGTGGGGCATTGAATCAGTTAAGTCGTCCAACATGTTGCTCCAACATTATCCAACATTGTTGGTTCTGTTCGAACACTGTAGTTGATGTTGGCTAATGCTGGAAGATGAAAAAGTTTGACTTTCAAAATTTTCATTAGTAGTCAAAATTTTGATTAGGTAGTATTCTACAATAAGCTGTCGTCGTTTGTGTCTGAAGTACCTGAAAAAGATATCTCGAACGTGGTGGTCCAGTGTAGATAGTATTTTACAATAAGCTGCCGTGGTTTGTGTGTGAACTACCTGAAAAAGATATCTCAAACATGATGGTCCACTGTATAGGTAGTATTCTACAATAAGCTGTCGTGGTTTGTGTCTGAACTACCTGAAAAAGATATCTCTCAAAACGTAATGGTCCAGTGTAGGTAGTATTGTACAAAAAGCTGTCATGGTTTGTGTCTGAACTACCTGAAAAAGATATCTCAAACATAGTGGTCCAGTGAATAGGTAGTATTCTACAATAAGCTGTCGTGGTTTGTGTCTGAACTACTGGAAAAGATTAAGTACTCTTCGAAATTTTGACAAATGTCATTATAGTTTGTGCATGTTTTTTTGCAGGTATCCTCAGATTCAATGAAGACGGTATCGTCCGTGTTGGTGGTCGTAGTGACAGCGAACTGTTGAAGGAATACAATCTATGGAATAAGGCAAGGCGTACTGTTGCTTGGTACAATGCACAAGATCTGCTTAGAGTCATTACGGCCACTATAGATGGAGAGAAGAAATGTCTTGAGAAGGCTCACTACCTGAATCTTGAGCTTGAAGATTTGCATTCTGTCATAGACGAAAGAGAGATGAATCAGATGTTGCCTTATGTATATGTTGCAGAATTTTATGGTACTACTGTACTTCGTGCTTGGCTGAATATGGTACCCTTGCCTTTCTATGCCCATGAGAATCCTGGGGGTGTGGAGGGTGATGTAGGGCTGGAAGGGGATGATGGTGAATTGGAAGGGGATGATAATGGATCGGAGGATGGGCATGATGATGGATCAGAGGAGAATGATGAGGGATTGGAGGAGAATGATATGGATCAGTTAGGATCCGAAGGAGTAGCAGAAGATGAAGGAAACAACGAAGAAGCGACAGTAGACGTGGAAAAAGACGCAGAACGTTTACAAAATGAGCGGAAACTCGGAGACGACTTTGCTGCTATTGAACGAGCTGAGGATGAAGCTAAGAGAGGCATGACACAAGATTATCTCAATTTTGTCAACCTGAGAGCAAGAATAGCCGAGCTTGAAGAAGAACAAGGGGAACAGTTTGCCCCACCAGATCTGAGTCTGTGGCAGCTGGATTTTAACACACGTCAACAGTTGTACCAACATTGGGTGAGGCGCTACCAGGATGCACACGCAAGAACATTGGAAGAATTGTACCAAGGATACGAAGTTGTTTGTGAACAAATGAAAGAAATTAAACACGGACAGGAAGAAGACGCCTTACGCCGTGCCACTGTGATTGGTATGACAACAACTGGTGCAGCAAAATATAGAAATGTCCTGCAAAAGATCCAACCGAAAATCGTTGTCGTTGAAGAAGCGGCTGAGGTGCTGGAAGCTCATATCGTAACGGCGTTGTCTCAAGGAGCCGAGCATTTGATCTTGATTGGCGATCACAAACAGTTGAAACCAAATCCGAGTGTTTATACCTTAGCAAAGCAGTACAACCTTGAAGTATCTTTGTTTGAACGGATGGTTAGAAATGGAATGAAATGTCACACCTTGGACACCCAGCATCGTATGAGACCTGAAATCGCTCGCCTGATGAAGTTCATTTATGATGATCTCAAGAACCACACCAGCGTCGAAAGTTTTGAAGATATTTTGGGTGTTGCGAAGAATATTTTCTTCATTGATCACCAACAACCGGAGAAAAGTGATGACGAGTTGAAAAGTCACTCAAACGAACACGAAGCGAAATACATCGTGGCATTATGTCGGTATCTGTCACGTCAAGGTTACGATAACTCCAAGATTACTGTTCTTACGACCTACACCGGACAGTTGTTGCAGTTAAAGCGCTTGATGCCCAAGACACAGTTCCAGGGAGTTCGGTTGTGCACCGTGGATAACTTCCAAGGGGAGGAGAATGATATCATTCTGTTATCTCTAGTCCGTAGCAACGAGGAGAACAAGATTGGATTTCTAGGAATTTCAAACCGTATCTGTGTCTCATTATCTCGGGCACGTATGGGATTCTACTGTATTGGTAATATCACAATGTTGGCTGGCAAGAGTGAACTGTGGCAGAAGATTAAAACTGATCTTGAGCACCAGCAAGCCATAGGACCTGCTCTACCAACCTACTGTCAGAATCACAAGAACACCAAAGTCGAGATGGTTACTGCACAAGATTTTAAAAAGGCTCCAGAAGGCGGCTGTACCCTCCCGTGTGATTTCCGCCTGGATTGCGGGCATAAATGTGAGATGGTGTGCCACCCTGTAGATCGTGAGCATAGGGAGTACGTATGCAGCAAACCCTGTACCAAGGAAGTATGTTCCCTACAACATCGCTGTACAAAAATATGTCATCATGGAGAACCCTGTGGACCTTGCCAAAAGCAAGTTACCAAAACCCTCCAGAAGTGTGGTCATCTGGTATCCATGCCATGTAGCGATGATGTCGATTCTTTCAAGTGCACCCGACCATGTGAAAGAAAGCTAGAATGTGGTCATCCATGTCGCAGTCGCTGTGGTGATGAATGCAGTGCGAAGAAATGCAAAGAGAAAGTCGAGAAGACCTTCCCATGTGGCCATAAAAAAGCCATTTCATGCTCCACTCCGACTGAAAACTACAAATGTGAAGTTCCTTGTGGAAGCGTCTTAGAGTGTGGTCACACGTGCCAAGGAAATTGCTACGATTGTAAACAAGGAAGGATACACGTGACTTGTCAAAATCCATGCGGGCGTACCTTGATTTGTTCCCATCCCTGTAAGGAACCTTGCACCAAGGATTGTCCCCCCTGTCAGCGAGACTGCGAAAACCGTTGTGTCCACAGCGCATGTCGTAAAAAGTGTGGGGAATCCTGTGCTCCATGTCAAGAGCCGTGTACGTGGGAATGCCAACACAAGAAAGGTAAGAAGACTTGCTGGAAGACTTGCTCGGAGATTTGTGATCGTAAGCGATGCAACGTGAATTGCCGTGTAATATTGCCATGTAGCAAGGGCAAACATAAACACAGATGTGTTGGTCTGTGTGGCGAGAAATGCCCACGACTCTGTCGTTACTGCAATAGAAAAGAGCTCACTGAAATCTTCTTTGGAACTGAAGATACTCCCGGTGCAAGATTTATTGAACTCTTGGATTGTGGCCATGTGTTCGAAGTAGAAGCTCTCGACCAGTGGATGGCACTTGAAGAGGAAGATGCGAGCAACGTTCAACTGAAGACTTGCCCGAAGTGTAAAACCCCGATAAGAAAGAGTCTTCGTTATGGCAACGTGATCAAGAAGGTTCTGCACGATATCGAAACCATCAAGGAGAGAGTTAGGCAAAATGGCGAAGACGGCAGGAAAAAGACGGCGGAATTGAATAGCAAGTTGAGTGAATTACGTTCGAAGTATCCGCTGGTTATGAAAGCAATCGATGGTAACGAGGAAATTATCGAAAGCACCAGAAGACGTTACTTGCGTATGGCGCATTTACAACAGACGCATTTGCCACAGACGAATTCATTGTACTCCACTATAGTATCCAAAATTGACTCCAGCAACAATCAAGAACTGGACATCCTCATATGTCAAATGCAACTCCTACCCTCTATCTATGAAATTAAAACGAAGTTCTTGGAACGCATGCAAAGCAGTGCAGAACATGATCAACTTCGCCAAGAGTTGACAGAGTTGGAAACGTCGCTGATGAACCGCACGAAATTTACCAACCAACTGATGTCGGATATTGATCAAGAAATCCAACGCATTGCTCTGGCTTGTAAGTTGAAAATTGTCCAACAAGATATCGTCAAAGAAGGGAAGTCTGTTCCACATGAGATGCAGTTAAAGATCGATGCTATCTCAGCGCTGTTTGAATCCACGAGTAAGATCAAGGATGAAGTGCGAGAAACCGCCATCAAAGATTTGGATCAGATTTGTAAAGATCTGGATCTAGGAGCCGTTACCGCAAAGGAAAGAGCTGAAATTGTGAAAGCTATTGGTTTAACCAAAGGTCATTGGTTTAAATGTCGTAACGGTCATATTTACGCTATTGGGGACTGTGGTGGGGCAATGGAGAGGGGTGAATGCCCGGAGTGTCATGAAATTATAGGAGGGGCAAATCACGCGCTAGCAGTGGGTAACGAGCTTGCCCCTGAGATGGACGGTGCGGCTCACCCAGCTTGGTCGAATCAAACAAATCTCGGGAATTATGACCAAGATGAACTAAGACGACTACAGTTCTTTTAAAGAACGCGAGATGAGGTACTATATGGTAAGTCGCAAATGATTTTCAACTATACCAGTGACCTAGACCAGTTCACACAAAACTTTCATTTACATTTGTGGAACAGACACGCAACAAAAAGGTTGTTCCAAC